TTGAATGATTAGATTTTTTTTTTTTTTTTTAAGTTTCCAGTTTGTTCAGGCTCTCAGCCATTAACAGGGTTAGTAAAAAAAAGAAAAGGAGATGGATGGATACATTCTTTTTAAAGAGAGGTCTTCAACTCCATTATGATTTGACAAGGGGAAAGAAATTCAGTTTTTCAGTTTGGCACCTTCAATCATGTCAGAATCAAAAGTTCCCCTTTAGAAAACCAGCGTGCAATCCGTTCTGACTTGATGGAGGTGCAGTTCAACCATCTTCCCAATAGGGGGCACTGTTGCACCACTCTCACAGCGCCGAGGTCTCTGCAGTGCTGCCTTCAGGAGGCGTCCATCCTGCACTTGTTACCTTGAGCACAGGCAACATAAACCAGCGAGCGGGTACCCTGCTGCAGCCTCCGAATCCATCAGAGATTAAGGCAAGAGCTGCACGACACCTGTTTCCATCACAACCTGCTCCATCTGTGGCTACTCCGACAGGTACTCCTGGACTCCATGGAGGACTGGTGCGAAGAGGAGTGGATGGAGGACTGTTGGGATGCAGCTGGGTTGTCGAGGCCGGATGTCATCAGGGGCAGATACAGATCGTCCATGTTGGGCATGACAAACACTTTCTGTTGATTGTTCAAAGGGGTGAAAAAAAAAAAAACAGAAATTGGATTTGTTCCTTTTTAGGTTAGCTCAAGGTGTTTTTGGTCCTTGACAAAAGAAAAATGCCGAAATAGAATATATAAAAAGAAGAAACAAGGTAAAAAGCAGCATATAAAGAATATTTAGTAGCATATTTAAAATTGAACAATCATTATAATCCAGATGATATGTGTGTTAAAGGAATGTATTAAGGCAAAGCAAGTATACATAGAGGAACTCATGGTGCTTTATAGAGTTAGAAAACAGAGCAATTAGAACAACAATGAGCAAAAATAAGACATTAAAATACAAGACATATTCACTTATAATCCTTAAAGTTGTTATGCAAGCAACGTCCACTTCTGAGGCGATATACTTCTACTACTACTACTTCTACTACGGTCGCTTTCTGTTCGTGTCAGGCCTCAGACCCTGAAGGTTCTATTTTGAATAACCTCTTACTGAACATCTGAAGTTAAATGGGCAAGCTTAATATGATTATATCATTAACAAATTTAAATGAACCATGCTGGATGAGACGTGGCGTCACTGCAGGCGGACCGAGGACTAATTGGTAAGGCTGGATACGGATACAGAAATACTGTGCAATGTTTTAATGTTTTCAGCAGCAAGGGAGATGTTTTTACTGATGGACTCACCTGGAACTCACACTGCAGTTTCTTCTCGATCCACTCAGTGACGTGCGTGAAGGTGACCTCCTCTCCCCAAGCGTGGGACGCACATGGAGGTCCAACCTGGGAGGGACACGAAAACTGTACCTGAAGAGACAGAAAGACTGCTTGAGAAAGAAAAAACTTAAACCTTCAAATGTGTGGTGTGAAGTGAGTAAAACAGAAACTTTAGTACCATATCCTGTCCGTAGGAGGAGGCGGGATGTTGACAGCCAGAGTGCCAGAGAGCTCCAGGACCTCGACGCTGAGGATCAGCGGCATGTTGGACACCTCAGCTATCTTCTTCTTGATGTACTCGTTCTCTGTGGCTTTCTGGAAGTACTTGGACTTTGCTATTTTGTCCACAAATCTTAAGAACTTCCTACCTGTGCTGCCACCAGTGTGCCTAACGGGGAGGACAGGGACACAGATGTAGTCAGGAGACTGTGGACCATGTCATGAGTCTAAACTGAGAGCAAAGTGATTGTGGCTTGTTTATACATTGTGTGTGTGTGTGTGTGTGTGTGTGTGTGTGTGTGTGTGTGTGTGTGTGTGTGTGTGTGTGTGTGTGTGTGTGTGTGTGTATATATATATATGTTATAATATAAACAAGATGAACATATTCAGGGAAACATGTGCAGTGAAGTTTTGTGAGCTGGAATCCAAATTTAATTTAGTATTCGTCGAGGACAACTACAATTAAAATGTTTATTTACCCTTCAGCTGTTACCACTGGGCTCTTGTCTCCCAGAGACCCCTGCACCTCAGACAGAAGGACCTCCTCTTCATCAGACGAGCCTGCGCTGGACGACTCCTCATCACTATCGGCCAGTGTACACAGCCTGGGCCTAGAGCTGGAGACAAATCAGGAGTTCCCTTCAATGCAAACTAACTGAGTGTAAAAGAAACTTGATTTTCCATTTGTTAAAGAATACAAAACAGAAACGGCTCCTAACCCCACTTGCTGAGTCTCTGGTACACCGTGTGCCTCGTCATCTCCATCTTTACCCAGCTTACACAGGTTCATCTTAGTCTCCAGGGTCATCTGAAGGCAGCCTGTGTACACCACCTCCAGCTCCAGCCACAGGCCTGGGGATAAAGGGAAGGAGAGAGGGGGATAGACAGGTTGCTTTAGGTTTCTTAAAGGGACTTTGATCTTAAGCTAGAGTTTGGTCAGCAGGCTGAATCGACATCTCCTTTCCAGCAGGATTTGAACAGTGATGTTCCAGAAAACACATGAGACAAATGTAGGAAAGCTCAGGCATGTCATAGTCGGTTGAGCTAAATCTAGTCAAAGGGATTGCTAATCTGCCAGGGAGGAGACAATGAAGAGCTTTTAAAGCGGAGACGGCAAACTCTCTAATGAAACAAATGGGATCATGGGCTGAGCCGACTGCAGGAATGTGCTGAGAGAAGAGAACTCGGTTAAGACTGTTGCGTAAACCTTGTCTACAGTGATTTAAGAAAAGAAAAAAACAAGACTCAAGCTGAAGTAGCAGCTGTGAAGGAGGGAGTAGATGAAGCGTGGGGGGGGGGGGGGTCCCCAAAGTGTCACAGCAATCCTTAAGAGATGGGAAGGATTTAAGTACAAATGATGGGTTACTGCGCTTCAATAAAGTTGACACATATCTGTATTTTATGCAAGTTTCTTTTTTACAGACGGCTTTTTATCCTTTCTCTCTCAAATTCAACACTAGTATATGTTCTTATTAGTACTTCTTATATTTTAAAAACAGGCTTCTCACTCTATAGCTCAAATGCACTTGAAGAATTACAGATTATAATTATTTTGCATTATTGCAGGACAATAATGTTTTAAAGTTATTTCAGCCTGTAGTCTTGTAATTTTTAATATTATGAAATGTGCCGGTCTTAATGAAGTTGTTCTTTAATCTGTGTTTCTGGAGCTCTTTAAGATATTTTTGTTCTCCATGCACTGTGGAAGTTGGTGAATCTGTGTCAGAAACCCCTCCTCTACTTGTTCAGTAAGCCACAGAAACAGTCGCTTAGAGCCTGTACTTCTTCCATTTACATTCAGTAAAGAAGTTGAATCAGTAACTCTACTTACCAGAGTCTTTTTTTGCACGCAAGTATATCTACCTCTATTTAAGTTGAGAGTGTGTCTACCTTTGCTGCGCTCTACCATCAAAATGTTGTTGTTACATTTCAGTCCGTAGGAGTGGACTGACCGACAACAGAGCCATACTACGAGCATGGCTAACTCTCAAAAGAGCAGGAATGTGTAGAAAAGAGTACTTCTCTAAAGAAATATGTACAAGGTAAATACACACAGGTGTACCTCTGCGGTCCAGAGTTGGTTTGGAGGTGCTGAGGACTTGAGGCAGACAGGTACCCATGTCAAGGTCGGCCAGGGTCAGATCATTCATGAAATATGGCAACTACAAAGAGACAAACCTTGTGTGAGTAAACACGCTGAGTTCATGCAGGACATAATGTACATAAAGACAGGTGTGTGTGTGTGTGTGTGTGTGTGTGTGTGTGTGTGTGTGTGTGTGTGTGTGTGTAACAGAGAAGCAAGATAGGAGAGGTTAAACTATGGTGTGTGTCAAAGAGAGGAGAAGGAAATGAGTAATGAGACGCTGTGGTGCCATCAGTGCTACACTCCCCTCTGTCTCCTCCTGCCTTAGAAACTGGAGAGAGTGCATTATCAGCAGACTCAGATACACACACACACACACACACACACACACACACACACACACACACACACACACACACACACACACACACACACACACCAACACACACCAACACACACACACACACACACACACACAACACACACCACACACACACACACACACACACACACACACACACACACACACACACACACACACACACACACACACACACACACACACATACATGCACAGGAAACAGAGCTGCAGTGTTGCTGTGCCTGGCGTCCCGTCCTTTGACCTTGTGCACAAACCAGTGCTGATGTTCCCATCCTGTCATCCAGTGACAGTTTCCAGAGGTGTGACCTGCAGTAAGCTCACTGCTGCAAAGCAATGTCATAACTCTGTATGACACTTATGATGATGATGCTGATGGTGGGAACACACAGATGGATGTGAATATATAAAGCACAAACAGGAGCATCAATCCAAAAAAACCATCTCCTGACCCAACTACATACGTTTCTGACTAACAGTGAGATAAATCACCGTCCTCATCCCGTCTCACCTTGATCTTGCTGAGCTTCTTCTGGATCTTGTGCGCCACCTGATCCGTCCAGTACTTCTCGCGGAGAAAGTCCCAGAAGATCCGTCCCACCAGGGAGTTCACCCAGGTGGGCTGGCCCTCTGCAGAGCGTCCCCCAGTCCCTGAACCTCCACTGGGCTCATCTCCTGCTTGACCTCCACATCCAGGCTCTTCATTGTGAATCTTAAAAGGTAAAGTAAATACATTTGAAAGCATTGCACGGATATTTTTTTTATAAATATTATGGTTTGACAGAACTGAATCTTGACTTTTGTACTGATTCTGCATCAGCCGCTTCCAAGCATCAGCACATATGTTCTCTTCGAGGGTTGCCAATCGCAAATTGCCTGAGTTAGCAGCTTAATTAGGTATACTGCTGATGTATCACAATCTTTTTCTATTAATATCCTTCCAGACAGGTGATACCATACATTTCTGCACATTGACATTTAGTAACGTAAGCATGGAGGTGTTTCGCTGAGCCAGCATTCCGCACAAGGCTGGCCCGAGCACAAAGCACAACAATGAAACAGCAGCTGATATTGACCAGCTCTGATCGATGGGAGTCATGTAGAGTATTAGCACAACATGCAGAGGGTAAATAGAGCAGAGGTAAAGCTTTCATAACTGGTCACAATGAAAAGACCTCCATACTGCATCTAAAAGCTAAATAAAAGTGTTGGGTTTTTTTTACCTTCCTGTGCGTTGTGGGGCTTCCCTTGTCGCTGTTGCAGGGGCTGGGGATGGTGTTGCAGCTCTGTGTTACGATCAGTTGAGTCATATAGTTGCTGTAGTCTAGCAGTGTTCTTGTTTTCAAAGCTCCCTGCAAGTCGTGCAGCTCTTCTGTGCTGTCTCTTACAATGTCTCCTCCTACGAGTGCTTCTGTGTGAGAGGATAAATAAAACAGAATAGAAATAGATGAAATGACATTTTCTATCCTGTATCTGGTTTAACATAGTTTTATGGTCGCTTGTGTATTTGTCATTTTTATATATTTTAAAGGCCCATCTAGGGATGGGCATTGCAAATTAGCTTAGGCAATGAGTATCTTGAGGATACCGGTTATTAGCGGGATCCTGGTATTGATCATATTCTGGATATGGTGTGTACATGCACACAGAGAAACCTGGTTATTCATATCCTTGTTTGAATTTAAAGCAGCTGGGAGGAGCTTTAAGATTTTGTTGATTTTGCCTGTTACGGCTGCTTATGCATTCCCCTCATCTGTTGTCTTCAGCTCTGCTCAGGTGAAGTTACTCAATGAGGTGCACCTCATGACCGCCCTAAGTAATTAGCCTCAGTAATTAAAAGCCCTGCAGTGCTGACCTCAGGAGGAGGGAGGCTTTTGGAGTTGGGACTGCTGTGCCTCTCAGATTCTGGGTTGTCTTGTCGATTTAATCCTTTGTTGACTTTTTTTGAAACTATTTATTTATGTTCCTGTCATATTAAATCCCTTTGTCTTGCATTTGTTAAGGTGTTTTATGTGCTTTATTCAATTTGTGGGTTGTTGTTGTTAGCCACATAGGGCCGCCTTATGATCAGGTAAATCCTATACATTTTCTTCTTTACAGAATAAACAGAATACACTCTTTACTTTTAAAGAGCTAATTAAGTATCGCCAAAATGTCTGCAGACATTATTTCTTTTTGCTGAATTTGCACCAAATCACCGAGCTCCAGACCTTTCCTTTACCTGCGTTCTCCTCCCCGCTCACACCGCTCGTGGCTCCAGCCCAGGAGGCCGACAGAAAGTGCTGGAACCACTCCTCCTTCTGCCTTCCTGTGCGGCCGAAAAGGTAAAGGGTGACAGGAAGCTGGTGGTCAGGAAGAGTGTGTTTTTCTGCCCTTTCTTCTTCCTCCTGTCCTTCGATGACACTCTCCTCTCCTACCTCCCCCTCTGCAAGAGTGATGCAGATGGGGTATTTCTTATTCCACACCCTCTTGCGAGCCAAACCAGGCGGCAACAGAGACACCTGGAAAAGAAAGATGATAATTTACTTTTTTTTTTTTTTTTTGTATTTTATTTCTACATAGTTGGGAGTCCCCATTAACAAAAGCCTCCTCCATCAATTAGCCTGTCTGTTAAGGTTATTCTGTTACCCCTTTGGAAGAGAATGCATCAGTATACACCTGGGACAGAAGCCGGGTCAAATTCATTCAACACATCATCACCTCTCTGCTCTTTCTCCTCCGTGTTAGATGACAATATGGGTGCAGAGAGATGAGAGTTCAGGTGAGAGTTCATCTCGCCTCTCGTTTCCTCAAAGTCATCTCCCCCCTGGGACCGAGAAGTGAGAATATTTTTGTGCCACAAAAGCACTGACCTTGCAGTTCGCCAGCTGGTAGGTGCGTGTTCGCAAAAACGCAGCCTCGTGGGACGTCTCGTCAAACGCCGCCCACCGGGGGATGTGGGCGCGCGGGTATGCAAGGCGTAGCCGGCGTCCCTCCAAGGCAACGAATACAGAATGGAGCACGGACGGGTGAAACGACTCAGGGTCGTAGCTGTGTGTTTCATTCATCCAGCCCTGGAGACAGAAGAGGGTATAAATCACATATTCCTTTAGAATGTACTCTGTACTATTTACTATGTGTAAAGCTGCATTAAGGCGGTTTTCAGGGTATTAAACTGTTTACAGAATCTCTAGTCAGGCAGATAAAATATCAGAGTGAGAGGTGCAAACTGCAGCTCAGCAGGAGGGGAAACACGAGACATTGCAGAATACATCTGTCTCATTTAACACTGTGGGAGAGCCTGCTGTGACCAACTGCTCCATCCTCGTATACTTATTTGAACCTGCTGACTCGGCATTTATCGAGCCAGAGGACCAGTTTGAATCTCTCAGCATAACTGTCAAGAGGAGCTCTGAGAGAACTTTTTACATATTAACCTGCTCTCCATATATCTGTAGTATTTATAGTCAAAATGAACCCATAACGCATTAAGCATAACGGTATCTTTAGTGCTCTCTAAAGCATCACACCATGACTCAAAAACACTTGAGTCACAGCCATTGGTTGACATCCAACTTTATAAGCCAGTAATATGTTGTTGAACACGGAGCAAAGGCAACATGTAGATTGGCTTTACCAATGAAAAAAATTGATGTATTCAACCATTTTTTTCCTATAGTATTGAAGGGCCAGTCTTAAATCTGTGCACTTAAGTTTGGGAGGAAAAAAAGGAAATGAAACATGATGCTTTTAAACCAGTGATCTTTTAAAATCAGTACCACGTCTATGGAGCTAATATTTGTTCCAAAACTGTTTGCAATAAATAAAATTTAGATCTCAAAAAATGCATTTATAGATCCACAAATGTAAGGGTTAGAGTTAGGAGCCAGATGGAGATAGCCGCCTCGGCTATGTAATAGTGTGATATCATAGCAGCCCAACACAGTGTAGCCAGCTATTTATTAAGTTAAACGTTCAAGATGAACAGGGACACAGAAAACAAGGAACCCTTTAAGGTCGGTACCCTTGGCACCCCAAAAGAAGGGTAACAAAAAATTAGGACGGTACGGATCCCTTATTTTGGTACCATTGCCAACTTCTGACGGTGGAAATGCCAATAAACCGTACAGTACCGAACCGAACCAGACCGCTTGATGGAAACGGTACTTATTATCCCACCCTAAAGGTTGAAGCTAGACACACTGCAGTCTGTTGATTGGTTGAAGGAATGGTCACTTCCTGTGCAACAGTGGTAATAAAGGACAAACACAAAACGCACCATGTTAAAATATCTTGTGGATTTTAAGGCTGTTTCTGTTGTTTGCAACTTATGTCAGCGCGTAGCACCTCGGAGATTAAGAGCTTCCTAAGAATCATTGAACTTTGTTTTTTGTGTCACATTCTTCTTCTTTGTTTAATTTATTGGCTGTCTGTCTACACTATATTGCGCCGCTGTGATTTAGTAAAGTGTAAGGGTATGGCTGGCTGTGGAAACGCAAGTAAGATCAGGTTTTACTGTACCAACGTGTACTGAACCAAATCGGACCGCTTGGTTCAGTACACTTTGGTACATCTGTGAATAAATGTGAGGATCTTTTTACATATTTGTGGATCTGTGTGTGCATTTATGACTGTACGGATCTAACGGTGGAATAAAGGTTTTGATAAACGTTAAGGTCGAAGGATGAAATGTCGTCATGTCAGTGTTTCTTTTCACATTCTGTATTTACCTCTAAGAACTCTTGATCTGCGAGCTCTCCATTCAGAGGATCCATGTTCAGATGTTTGCTCAGTCGAGAGCTCTTGTCTCTTCTGGTAGATGAGCGTCGAGGGGCAAACATGTAAACCACCACCAGGCCCAACATGAAGCCACATACAATCCCAATAGACAGACCTGTCACATAGGAGGGCAGGGGCAACACGAAGAAACCATAAGCTAAAAGACCCACGGGGAGGAGCCAGTGGAAAGGGAGTGGAGGGACCGGAAATGAGACTCTGGACCGGGTGTACGCTTTATGATGAGTCCCTTTGGATCCGTTCTGCAGCTCCACCACCTGGATCACGTCCCCATAAGTGTGAATTTCCAACGTGCTGTCTTTGCTGTGTGTATGGTGTTCTGGGGATCCAGAGGATTTTATTAACGAGCCCTGTTGGAGTCGTCTCAGGGGCGAGTCACACACACTTTCAGTTCTTCTCCGACACTTAAGCTCTACATTGTCACTCCCTCCGTCTCTCCCATAGCTGCCTTGTTGGGACTGTGAGTCTCCTGCCCTTCCATGCTTTGGGCTGCCAGAGCTTTCGTCCCCCATGATCTTACTCAGCATGCTAAGAGGATCCTGCATGGCCTCGGAAAACTTCCTGCGAGTGTCCTCCAGCTCTGCAATCAGCGAGCTTCCCCGTGGTTCCACAGGAGGCACGCTGCCAGGTGAAGATTCCCAGTAGTTGTCCTCATTCTGTCCTCCCGCATCAGGCTTGGCCTCAGGGATTCTAGGATGACTAAACTGCTTCCGGGGTTGCAAATGCAGTTTGGAGTCCGACTTTGAGAGGTTGACCTCTGGCTCGACCCGGCGGGAAATCTCCGTGCTCAGAGATTTGACCAAGCTGAGCAGAGGTTTGCTACGTATGGACCCGCTCTCGCTCGGCTCCAGGTCAGTGGAGGAGGACTTGACGAGGGTGCTGGAGATGGGAAGTTCTCCAGAGAGATCGGCGAGAGAGCCCGGGGATGAGGGGGAGTGACGCAGGAACGGCGAGTGGGCGCGTTGGCCTTGGCTCAGATCTAACTCCATATCCAGAGTGAGGTTGGGTTGGCTCTCCGCGCCCCGTGGTTTATCTTTGGAAAAGGCCACGATGGGGCCTTCATCACGGCGGTCCAGGCTGAAGATGAGCTTGCTCTCTTCCATGCTGGCTGGAAGAAACTTTGAAAAATGTGGTCAACCCAACAGAGCAGCCATTCCAGAAGACTTGGAGCGAGACACTTGCACCTGAAGATTCATAATATCCACCTAGGTTAGCTTCATGTTGGAACCTTGAAAGTGGGAGAGAAAAATGGAAAGTATATATATGGGTATTTTATCAACAGCATCTTGTGAATGTACTGTTAGTGGATTAATCAACATTCAGGAGGAAAGCCCACAAGGGGCTGCTTGTGGGATGTTTTTATGATGATGATTTTATTTGTTTATAGCCACTCGATTTATTGTCTGGAGTCTGCCGCCATGGTACCTTGGAAAAACAAAAATAAGATGCCCTATACCAAGCCTTTCAAAACGAATACAAACTAGAAACTATAAATTCAATCAGTGAATTGAACTACTTCAACAAACCCATGGCAACATTTTCACCTTGAATGAGGGCTCAACATTTAACATTTCGCTTCCCTGCTGCTTCTCTGCAGCGCTGACCTTCAGATTCCAGTTCTCGCTGCTCCCTTCTCTCCTTTTTTATAATTTTCTCTGCCCTTTCACCTCCTCACCTTTCTTTCTAATCTCCCCCCCTGTACTTTCCCGCTTTGTCCCTTTTTCTTATTCCTCTGCAAGGAAGGATACAGGGATTGAAATAGTGTGTTTCACTCTATGTGTGTGTGCGCTGTCATTTTACATGAAGTGTTTTTGTAATCATCATAAGGAGTCGTTTACACAGAGACTTTAATTCCAGAGCTAATCCCACATTAAAGGCAAGGATCAAAATCATGAGCCTATGTCCTTTTAGGTAGTTTGTGTCTTGACACATTTTTCTTCCTCACTTGTCTTTCTGTTGTGTTTTTATTTCTATTTCTGCGTATTTTATCTTGCTTGTAGATGTGTGAGACTTTTACTCATGTAGATCTTAAACTAGATTTCCCCAGATGATGATTAAGGGATTCAAAACTCCTCAATCGTAAACTCACTCTGTGACTCAAGAGAAACTAGAGAACATGTGCCGTTATTTAGCTCTAGATATCAGTGTTTGTGGAGTCACATGCGTCCAAAACAAAGTATCATGCAGCCAAAATCACAGAGTCAACCTCTCGATCCGACCTAGACAGATAGTGGATTAACTGTGATCCTCTGTATTTAAGAGGCTTTTACGACAGGAAACTAAGACACTTGGCAGATGAATTCAATCTGATGAATGGGCAATCAGTGTGTCTCTCTCTGGATTGGATTGGTAATCTGTGATCACAATTTCTGCACTTTATCTGCCAACCAGACTTTGGTCTTCCAGGCGGGCGGCCTGGCTTCAAATCCAACCTGTGGCTCCATTCCTGCATGTCATTCTCCACTCTCTCTCTCTCCCTGATTTCTGACTCTATCCACTGTCCGACCTCTAAGGCCCAAAAATAAACAAAAACAACGTAAAAATAAGACTATACCATCGATCAATAAAACATGGTGAGTAAAAGCAAGGTTGAAATGAGCCGTAAGTAAAAACGAGAAAACTAAAGACAAGATAGAAAGTGCAGAGATCAATAAATATACTTAAAATTGCTTCTGCGTTACATCTTGTTCATTTCACTGATGGCTGCTGGGACAAAGCTGTTCAGGGTGGTACGTTATACCGACGTCCTGACGGGAGATTTGCTCACATTTTGCAAAACATTCATAAATTGTCTGACTTTTTCAACCTTTTTTGTTTGGCTTTGAAATATTGTAGGGGAATTAAGCATTTGAAAATTTGGCACAAGGCATGAAACCACGATAAGTTAAAATACAAATGAAGGCTGTGGAGGACGGGTTTAATCTCCATGTTCACGGTGCAGACACAGTTCATGTTTCAATCTAAATTCAACAGAAAGAAACAGCATCATCATGACTTAATATTAGTGTCCTTTAGGGGACACAATTTTAACATGTTTAAGCTTCAGCAGGAACTCTTACATAAGTGAGACCCATGAGATGTGTGTTTAACAATTGTCTTTAATATGACAAATATCTTACCTGGACCAGATGAAACCAGTTCCTCAAGGCTGCACATTTAGTTACCATAATGGTCAAAGAATGTCACTTTCCTGTCGGCGCCTCCATTATCTCTTCCCTCCTCTGCACACGGATTTAGAAAGATAAACATTTCAGCACCAGCCTGCTTGCCTGTTTGTCAGGTTTATTTAATTAAGTAAAAGTGCTGCCCCCCCCCCCCCCCTCCAGTCAGCCCTACATTACCCCAATCAATTTCTGCTCCTGAGTCGATCTGAATCGATTCTTGCTGACATAGAGAGGGAAACCATTGCAGCCCCGCGGGCTACAGAGTCAGCAGGGATTTTGCAGCTCAGGACTACTACAGATGAAATTCTGCAGGAGCAGGAAGAAAGAAAAACTATCGTAGGAACTCTGCCTCAAACCCTCGATTTTGGTTCATCCCATGGGGGGTCGAAAGCGAAACAGATTCAGCAGTTTAATTATCAGTGGTGGAGCAACTTCTAAATATAGTTCATGTTAATGAGGGAGAAACATGTAAGAAGTCTTTGATGACACATAGCTGGCTCTGTAATAAAGATGTTTCTGTTACCAGTGTGGGCAAGCAGGGGAGAAACAGTCTTTGACTTTTCAATGGGAAGAAAGGTCGATTTAGAGCTGCAGCTCAAGTTACATTTCATTATCTGTTAGTTTGATGATTGTTTTCCTAAATACATCAAGAGAGAATGAGTTTCGCTCTGTCAGAGGTGACGTCTTTAGATGACTTGTTTAGTTCCAATCTAGGATAAAAACTCAAAAGTATTCTTCTTCTATGATAAAAACAAACTGGAGTAGATGAAGATTGTTCAGCATTTCACTTTGCAACAGACTGAAAGAAGTCAGTTTTAAAACAAAAAACAGTTAACATTTTGATATATCTTATGTTGTCTGTAGTTTCTTTTTCACACTGGCTCAATATGACCTGGGAGCCCTGATAGATTGTAATAATGGCGGAGGAAACATGTTTTTAATCCTGCACGAATTGAGTATTTTCTGGTAATGTAATAAATTCAAGCAAGAGGCAAGGAAATTTTTTTATTAATCTTGTTTTTATTTAAGGAGCATTTCTATCAAATAGTATTTTTTTTTTTACAAACAGGTAGATTATTTGACATGTTGACATTGTGCAGTTGGCTGTTAATGAAAATGTCTGTGTGACATTTAGTCCATAAGGATTTGACTTTTTGTGTTTGTTATTCTTTGCAACAAAGTATTGAGCTATGTATCATATGTTGCCATCCAGTTTTAAAATATCGAGATGTGATTTTGGTTCCATATCTCCAAGTCCTACTGTCTACGTGCAGAACATACTTTTTGTTTGTCTGTGGCAAGCAATACCAAAGTTGTGCATTTGCTTATGATGGAACAGGTACAGTCAAGGGGTTTATCAACGAGGATTAAAAAAAGAGAGAAAGAAATGACGTGACCAGCAGAAAATCCCATTTTTATCCATGATGTCTCCATGAGATTGAATCCTCTCTGCCCTCCATTTGGCCTCTTTATCCTTTTTAAACAACCACATGGGGATAGAAAGTCATCAGAATATTTGCTTTATTCCTGAAATCATTTTTTTTTAAATCCCAGTTGAGACTGTGAGATTATGTGACTGTCCATGTAGCTGTGCATCACTCTCAAAGAGAGGCTGCACATTCATTTTAGGACATGTCTGTGCTTCTGTCCTGCCCTCGAACTACCGTCTGACCCTGACACATTTGGCACAGGACTGTGTGACTGATCAGTGTTTCTAGAGCTTTACTTCGTGTCAGTAAGGTTTCCCTAAGACTATATCTGCTGTACCAAAAGAGGCTGACTATCACTCAGGCACCAAACAACATTGGCCATTCAAACTTTTTTTTATGCTTGACAGTAGGAAGGGGAATTAAGCAGATGCCAAATCCATCACCACATGGTCCGTTTTAAGCATTCTGTCCTAAAACTACGAAGGTGCAGAAAGCAGGCGTTTGCTCACCTAATTCTCGCATGTTTGTCCAGCTGCTCCTGTGAAATCGGCGGAGCTTTGTGCAGAAAATGCTCTTCAGGCTCTCTGTCAGGCTGCAGTGCTCCGTCTGGATGCTGCAGAGTGCGCTGTGCTGCACCAGCCGCAGGCAGCCAACAATCATTCATCCAACTTTGCTCAGATTGACGGAAAACCAGAGAGATTCATCCACAACTCCTTTCAAAAGATTGCATCCAAAACAGACAGGTTACCTTTAATTCAAAACGCGTCGGGGACTTGGCGACGCGTGTCCTCGCTGTATTATTTGCTCCCTCTTCATGAGGCGTCAACTCAAAGCAGAATAATGTGATTATTGACGGCCTCCTGGCCACCGCCGCAGACTGGACCGGTCCCTAATCCAGATTAGGATGTAGAGACCAACAGTTGACGGAGCGGCTCCTCCTCTGTGCTCTCTGCAGCGTCAAAACACACACACACACACTGAGCTCAACTCTGACACCGCAGTCATGGACGCAGACTTATGTAATTGCACGACCTGGAAAAAATAATTCATGCCAGAGTTATCGCTCAAAATACATAATCCTTGTTTAAAATACATCGATTTAAAAAGGGCATTTGAGTTTTTGGGATCTGTTAATGCGCAAGGATATTACGTAGAAATTCACGTCTTATTTTATCTCATTTTGGGACATCATTTCTTCTTTTAAAAATATATTTTTGCCTTTTTTTGGACAGTTGATGGAGTAGGAAACCAGGGAGAGAGAGTAGGGAATGACATGCGGGAAAGGAGCCACAGGTTGGATTTGAACCCGGGCCGCCCACTTGGAGGACTGTACACTAGACCATCTGCACCCCATCAACCTTTCATTGAGGGAAAAATAAGCCATCAATGTCATTTAGGGTGAATAATTTTATGTGATTAGAAGTCAAATATTAAGAGGCGGCACACAGATTAAAAATAATGGCTTTTGGTTTCCAAAAACTTGGCAGGCTGAGTGAAATGTAAATAAAAACAGGAAGTGTTGATTTGCAACATAAAAGTAGCACAAAGACAATATATCAAATGTTGACACTAAGAAATGTCATTGCTTTTGGAAATTAATGTGCCCATTTTGAATTTGATGCCTTAAAAAACGTTTTTAAAAAGTTGGGACATGCTCAGGTTTACCTCCCTGCTGCTTCTCCTTTAAAAACAACAACACTCTGCAAGTCTTTGGGAACTGAGGAGACCTGTTGCTGTAGCTCTAAAAAGGATGTACAGGGTTTATACTGTGCATGCATTATTGCTCCCTCCATATTATTTTTAAACAGAAGCATCAGAAGTGTTTGCAGCGGAGCAGCAGAAACATTCACCCTGAATGATCTGACATTTCACTGCAAGCTGAACTGCATTTTATGGACTGATTTAAACGTCTGGATTTACAGAAGCTTAAATATGATCCTGTTATGTTTTGCGTTGCTACAGATAATTACTATGTTATGTTGTTGCATGTTTAAACCGGTTATCTCCTTATTGATTGATAGTTTAACAGGCCCTCCTGAGAATAAGTCCAGGGGCCCAAAGGATCAGGGGCCGCCTATTACCAGAGCCATTTCTTAAAGTCACTGTGTTTTAGGAGAGACACAAAACAACAACATAGATAAAGAAAATGTCTAAAGAGATTGAAGACAAATGCAAAAAGGAACAAAATATCTACAACTACGTGCAACACATCCACAAAGAGAAAAAAAATATGGAGACAGAAACCAAAGATGTCATGTCTTTGGTTTCTGTCTCCATATTTTTTTTCTCTAGTACAATTAGTCACATAAAAACAAATAGAAAAATGGCTAAAAAAAACAACACAAGAACATAAAAGGAACACAAAGACAATCAAGACTACTACGATATGAAAATGACCACAATCAGACACAAAATAACTCATCTTGCACTTTGGGGGCTGATGAAGTGTTTGTTCTCAGGGCCCCTTGTCCAATAATCAGCCAGCAAATGTTGGCCAACCAGAGGCTCAGTTATATCAATACAGATGCATGTTGACAGAACAAAGAGGTAATAGTAGACAGAATCGAGGAAGTAGAGGTTTTGGCTGATGTTACAGACACCTGTGACCTTCTAAAGACCTGTAGGTGTGTATCTGCTGCTACCTGCTGGTCAAATGACTGAAATGTTCAAATGTAGTGAACTGATTTTAAGGGGCTGTGTTTTGTTCCAGAGATAGGAGCACCTCCAGAAAGGGCAAAACAATTTAAGGGATGAGAGCAGTGAACTATTCTGATGTGTACCAAAGACATTGCCAACAATTAATCACCAAACAAACACAAAATACAAATACACAAAATCAAAAACTTTTAAGGGTTGACGAAGATAACTATAAATCAAATGAGTTCACTAATTCTGACATGATACCTTTTGACTCCACAGTGCTTTATATATATATATATATATATATATATACACATACATACATATATATATACATACATACATACATACATACATATATATATATATATATATATATATATATATATATATATATATATATATATATATATATATATATATAATGTGTCAGTAAAATGTGCATTTTTATAGATCTAGCTCTGAGTTTTTATTTTAGTTCCTAGAACCTGTTAAACTCCTGCTTCAGAGTAGGTACCGTGGTGGTGTGAATGCAGACCAAAACAAGTCCCCATGATGTTTAATTCTAAGGGAACTCCCCGAGTGGAAAGTTCCTCTTCAAAAAAAGTCACCAGAACGGTTTGGTCCGAAAACCCCCAATATGTATATAAAGATGAAAAAGGAAGTGGACCAAACATGGATTCCTGTGGAACACCTTTTGTTGCTAATGAAACATGATAGCTCCACAGTTTAGCATATGTCTGTCTTTATTGGATGAACCTGTTTGTAGTCATCTTGAAGTCACAATCTTCATTTAAAGACATTAAGGTTCAAAACATTCAGACAGCTGTATTCTCTTAACTGGTCTTTGATGGAAATCGTAAGAAATTTAAAAGGTTTTAAAAACTTCATGAAGGTTACTCCATGTTTCCTGGTGGGTGCGATTTTTTTATGTTCCGTTAACTGTGCCCTCTGGCAAAAACGTTTACCACAGACATCACATGAGCAGAGCTTTCTTCCCCTGAAACGTTCTTCATGTGATTTGAGATGACCCCGTGTGTAAAACCGTCGCCCACAGACATCACACTCATACTGCCTCTCCCCTGAGTGGGTCCTCATGTGCACATTCAGATGCTCTTTTTGGACAAAGCTTTTACCACAGTCTTGGCATTGAAAGTCCTTCATCCTTGTGTGCGACATTAAATGTATTTGCAGACCAGCGGTTGCGGTGAACGTCTTGTTGCAAACATCACAAATTACTTTGTTTGCGTGCGCGTTCTGCAAACGACTAAGAAGCTCCATTTGAGAGTCACTAGGCTTGGTGTGAGTTTTGATGTGCTTTCTGAAGTGATGGATGAACCTGAAACTCTTTCCACAAGAAGGACAAACATGACGGTCCTTTTTACACTTGGCAAAATCATTTCCTCTCTTTGTCTTTTTCTGTGTTCCTTTCCTGTTAACCCATTCCTCATCACTGTCATCGCTCTCACTCTCAGAGCCGTCTGAAGAAACCGGTTGTATTTCATCGCAAACTTTTGCCCCTTGTTGATTTCGTCCCCATTTCACAGCTTCAATAAGAGGTAAAACAACCTCATCTGCATGTTCTTCCACCCCAAAGTCAATCTGGATGCAGCATCTTCCTTCAAAAGCCTTAGAGGAGGCTCGGACCTCATCATTACTCATATTAGACTCTTCTTCCACTGAAGGTTGGATCTCTGACAAATCTCGTTCCATTTTCACAGCTGCAGGAGAAGGAAAAAACACCTCATGTGTGTCACCGTCGACCACACGTTCCTTCTGCTCCTCTTTTATCCTGAAGCCCATCTGAACAAAACCGTTTTGTACATAGCTTTGGCATAAACCTGGGACATCAGCGGCACTCAAATAAGACTGCTCCTGAGTTGAGATCTCCTGCAGGGTCTCCGCACTGTTGGTTAAAGTGACTTCTGTAAACACAGACAATAAGGAAAATATTACAACTCTTTTTTTAAACTAGCAGAGGGCGCCAACAGCTTTAGGCTTCTCTTGTTTGTCTGAAACAAGATGCATGCAGACATGAAGGGAGCATGTGATTTTGTTTCGTTTTAGAATGTGTAGGAGACGGAAACAGTGCGCAAATATTGCAGGAGACAGATGGACTGACTACATAAATACAACAGACATGATGCAGCTTTTACAACCACCCCACGCTGCAAAGCTCAAGACACCAAAACAAACTATTAACATTAACATGTGTAGAGCCAGAGATGACAACGTGCAGACTCAGGAGGGGTCTGAAGGATTTGGGCTGATGATAAACACGTAAGAGCCTTTTGTTATTTTTAAAAACACAAATGACCACTTAAATTAGGTCATAAAGAAAATCCGATATCTTTTTTTATTTAACCTTTATTTAACCAGGAAAGAAACTCATTGAGATTAAAAATACATTTTTCAAGAGAGTCCTGGCCAAGTCAGGCAGCAGCACAATGAACAGAGTTTCACAAAAATACATGATTAGACATTAAAAGACAGAAATAACAGATCCAAACAGCAAATGTTTGTCAAAGATCATCCACAAACACATCAGGAAGAATGTCTACAGCCAGATGCATCCGCCCCCAAGTCATCTAACTTCCTCTATCTTAAAAGTTTTCTGTGCTTCAGTCAGAAACAGGCAGCAACTCTGTTTATTTAAAGAGACTATACCTTTTTGTGCTATTCATGTAATTATTCTGATTAAGGATAAATCTTCAAATTATTTTATCTAAAACTTAAGTTTCAAAAAGGTATTTTCGTAATATATAATCTCTGTCACTTTTTATAAAGAAACAACAGAGTTTTTTTTATAATTCATTAGTACCAATAGAACCTAAAAAAAAAAACAAACAAAAAAACTTACATTTATAAATTAAAATAAGTTAAGAAAAATCGTTAGAAAAATCGTTAGAAAAATCGTTTTTATCTTAAGAGAATTCTAATTTAAAAGAATCACATTTATTCATAAATTGAATTTAACACGTCTTTATGACGATTAGATAATCCTAAATAATTTGTGATCAAATCGTGTTGTGAACGAAGCATAATGACACATACCGTATCGTAAATTAAATATTTGGTTTATAATACTGTTTATAAATCTTATAAGCTTTAACCTGGCACTGGTATTTTACGTGTAACGTGAGCGCCCTCTGCTGGGGACACTGCGGACGTGTGACAGGGTGAGACCCAGAAGCTGTTCCTCTGAAAAACGTTAAAAATAAGTTAGTTTTACGTGGTTAAAGTGCTTTTTATTAAAATAGAGTATTCGAGAGAACCTTTAAATTTAATATCAAACACTTTAATGATGATTAAGCTCGATATGTTGTTTAATATGCATTCTGTGTGG